ATTCTTTTTAACTGCTAATACTGTAAAAAGGGAAAGCGAATATTAACTAATACCAAGTTTATGTATGATTGAAATATGCTTGGATGTAATCAAAGTTATTTATTTATTTAATGATTGATTATTATACACAATTTTATTCTGTACATATCAGCAACAAAGTTTTTTTTGTTTCTTTCTACAGTGGATAAAAAGAATTAATTTAAGCAATTTATGGTCCATCTAACATAGAGGCTTAAGTTGAGTTACTTACTATTAACTTAAAATGACTGTTTTTTAAACTTCTGAGGTAATATGTCATTTTCTTGCCATTCAAGATTTGGTGAATTTCTATTTCATTTTTTTTCTCGAGCAAATGTTAATAAACTACACTGCTGCCTATAAGATATTAATAAGTGTAGCTGAAGAAGTATACAAAAAAAAATTTAGATTATTTTGAAGACTAAATTTGAAGAAATTTTTTTATCCAAATTGTCATGTTTCGTGAGAATCACCCATATATATGAATATAAAACAAAGGAAAATAATAGACATATGAAAAAAAAGGGGGGGGGAATAATAATGAAAAAAAAAATATATATATATATATATAATATACTAGAAGTATAATATACTAAGAAAATATTTTCATTTTATGAAAATTAAATTGTTACCGTATTTTCCACTAATTACATGAAAAGTCAATGTATTTTTAGCATTTGGTAAAAATAACAATAATTAATAAAAGTCAAAAACTAAAATCAATGGAGAGAGAATTATTAAAAATAAGTTTGTATTCTATATATTTATTCAACATAGTTAAACAAAGTGGAGCATATTCCTATTTACAATTTCAATTTTTGAAAAAGATATTTTCTTCTAAAAGAAGAAAAAAAAATTATTATAGAAATCATACTCTGAAAGCAGAAATAATTAAGAATTAAATCAGAGAATTTCTTCATTCATTCTGAGAGAATGAATCGAAGGAGAATCCATTAATCACTCAACTAATTTCCTTTCCTTCATTCCAATCGCAAAAGTGGATTACTAATTATATTGGAAAGAGTCATGAATCCTTCTGAATTAATGGAATGAGAAAATCAAAGAGATTAGAAGCCTATTTGCTCAAATTATTCTTAGTCACAAGTATTTAAATTCATTTTTGAAAATAGATTCTTTTAACATTAGTTATGGATAGATAGTATCCGTCATGAAAAAATTAATGTTCATTTTATGAAAAGGCGATTTCTAATATTTTACTCATTATCTTTCAACTATTTTTATCATTTTTTTGAAATTTATCTTAAAAAAATATTACATCATTTCATTTGATTTATTTATAATCTTGTTTCCCGCACAATTTATGCAAAAAATATATATTGGGAATTTTTGATTCATGAAAAATTATTTATAGTCAGCATTTAATTAGGGTGAAATGTATAAATGGCTTTTAACTATTTTAATTTGGTAATCAGTCTAAAAAGGAAGAAAATTTTTGTACGAATAAACAAAAGTAATAGTTATTCATAGATCAAAAGCACAAGCAAATATTATATAATATTATTAAAAACATTTCATATTTTGAAAAATATTTTTCATTGGCTAGTAATTTGTTAAGGTTAAAATGTTTAAATTTAATCAAGAATTTCTATATTTTTTCTCTCGGGATTTTAAGTATCCCAGTTAATCGACTGATCGTTTAGGACGCTTAAAGATCTTCTCTCGCTAAATATTTGCAAGA